GCGCGCGCACACTTGCACACGGTACCTCCGCTCCTGTCCAGTCTCGCCTGCCCCCAGAGAGGGCCGAACCCCCTGGGGCCGGATGCCATGGGTAACAACTTCTCCAGTATCCCCTCTCTGCCCCGAGGAAACCCGAGCCGGGCGCCACGGGGCCACCCCCAAAACCTCAAAGGTAAGGCTCCCCCGGGGCCGGGAGCAGCTGGAGGACGGGGGCGCAGGTGGAGGGCAGGGAGAGGTGGAGAGGTGTGGTTCAGGAGGCTGGGCAGGTGCCACCTGTTGTGCGTATTTGGAGATGGGAGATGCACCTCTGGACGTGAAGGTGGGCTAGGGGTGGCGGGGCTTCCGAGGGTGATGATTAAAAACCAGGGAGGATGGTGTTCTGTGGGGTCTACGCAGTTCTCCCTGCCAGCACTGAGAACGTCACTGGAGTCCCCTCAGGCTGTGATGCTAGGCGAGCGTGCAGGGGTGAAGGAGGGCGTTTGCCTAGTGGATAGGGGAGTGTGGCAGGATGCTCAGGCCGGCCAGCTGTGCTTCCCAGGGGAAGCATTGTGGTCTCCTTTTTTCATCTGCCGGTGGCTGGAGAGGTGATGCTGGAAGCACTAGTTGCATTTCCGATTAGAGGGGCTTAAACATTCCAGGACTGATTTATGACAGCCTGGAAGAAGGGGCCAGAGCCTATGGCCTCTGGAGTCCTCTGAAGCTATTGACTTTTTGCATCCACTGAATTAGCTTGGTTTCTGGTTCCCTCAAAGGCCAGATGTCCAGTTGGAACTGTAGAAAGGAGGTGCTGGGAGCCTTGAGACAGAGGGATATTTACTAAGAAGATCTTTGCCCTCTAAGTCTTCCCACCCTCCTGGCACCCACCCTGAGGCTCCAGGCCCAGTTCTCAGCTTTACCTCTTTCTGTGCTGTCTCTGACCTTTGGAAGATATACCTGCGTCCTCCCAGGCCCTCAGAGCCCACTGATTCCTTTCAGGAAGCTCGTTTTTCATCATCCTCAAACCCAGCCAGTACTGGCTGGGCATTCTGATGGCTAAGAGTTAGGAAGGGAAGCCATCGGGTTTTCACAAAGAACAACCCACTTCTCAAGCCCTTCAGGTTATGAGAAAGATACTAGTAATGTCCTTTGACAAAGCATTGTAGTTTACAAAGAACTTTCACAAACACCTTTTCATGTGAGGAAACTGCTCTGGGTAGTCCTCAGAGCTAATCATACCCATTTTACAGTTGAGGAGAACCAATGTTTGTTTCAGGTTCCCAAAGCCACAGAGGCAGAGCTAGGCTGCAGAACTGCGCCTTATGACTTGGAATTCTGTCCTCTCTTTTGCTGGACAGTTAACCTTCAAGACAGGAGGAGAGGAGGAGAGACGGGACCACTGTCCTGCATTCTAACTCCAGTCCTTTCAGAACTCAAGCTCTCGCTCAGCTCAGGAAAATCAATGGGTTTGTTGTGTCTTTCTGGAAATTGATATGGCAGTACACGCCAAGACCTTTTAAAATATATTCATTGGCTTTATGATTCCATCTGGAGGAATAGATTCTGAGGAAATGGAGATATAGGCAAATACTTATGCACTAGGCTAGGATGCTCATGGCAGTGTTGTTTATACTAGGAAAACAACCTAAATGCCGTGTAAGCACGGTAGATCCTCTTGGTGGAGTATTATGCAATCTTTAAAATAGTATTTTTGAAAAATATTTGATCACTTGGGAAAATGCTCACAGCAGAATAATGGCAGTTGTAAAAAGCAGGATACAAAATTGTAAGATCTGAATTGCTAAGAAGAATGTTATGAATGCAAAAAAAGAAAAATCAGACAACCTTGGGAAGGAAGTTTCTGAAAGATTAACAATAGTTTCCTCTGGGTAATGAGATCACCTAAGATTTTTTTCTTTTCTTTTTTATATTTTGCTCTTTCTAAAGTTTCTACAGAAAGCAAGTATTATTTTCTATTATCAGAAATATGCTGTATTAAATGTACGAAGTCTGTTTCTGAGCACTGAAAACAGATTTCTAAGGATGGAGGAACCTGTAGATGTCATCTGATTCAGTGTCCTCCCTTACAAGGGAGAAGGATGATGGAAAAAGGGAGAGTGATTTGCCCAGTTATTCAGTGGGTCATTCAAGAGAAAGTGGTGAGGCCAGGCTAAGTCGTTCAAGGGCAGGGGTTCACTGGGCCAGTGAGTTGACTTGGTCTTTGAATGCTCCCCAACTGCTCTGAGAGGGCTATGCTCCATCCATGACCCTAGGGAAGCCCAGAGAAGGTCTGCAGAATTTCCCTCTTTTTACCTAAAGTTTGGGATCGTGGTGATGTGAGTCTGGGGCTGGGGTCTTTGACAAGGGAGTGGGTGGGCAGGAGAAGGTCTCAGGCCCTCCCATCTCCCTACAGCTCTACCCTAGCCTCCTCCTCTGCCTGACTCCCCATCTATCTGGCTTGGGAAAACCCTCTTATACTGCCACTCTGGTTTACAGGGATCAGTTCTTTTTTGGTGGGAGTACAGAGTGGAGAAATTCTCCCCCCAGCGGTTTCCCTACCCCTGCCCATCTCCCTTCTGGCTTAATTTAGCAGATTCCACTCTTGCCTGTTCCTCACCACACACCTATGGGGATGGCCGTGAGGGTTTTTGTTCTGCTCCTTCCAAGCCTGAGATGAAGGATTAGAGCATGCACATGAAGGCCGCCTATGCATGCCCTCCGCCCTTCATCTAGGGTCCACTGATCCTCCTCCTCAGCCTGACTTTCCCCCACCCTATTAGAGCCATCAGCTTTATTCTGCTACTGTTTTAGTGTTCACTCCAAATTCCCTTCTAGCTGTATCAGCATTGACCTAGGCGTCTGCCCTGACCATCCAGGATTCCATTCCCGTTGTATTGGTGTTAACCTTGATACTGGCTGTGATTCTAAGACTGCCCATCCCGAGTTCTGCTGGGGTAGATTCTGTACTCACCCAGAATTCAGCTCTGATTCTTATCGGTGTCCATCCAGCAATTTGCTGAGGGCAGGGAACTCTTGATTATTTTCCCCCTCCTTCCATAATTACAATCTCTATTGATTTCTCACCATTTTAATTAAAACAACTGGAAGGGACCTGGTGTAATAGGAACTCTGGTACTCATTGAAGATCTCAGATTGGCCTGGCCATCAGGCTATGAGATGAGGCTCATCCATCATCTGTCACGTGGTAATTTCATCTTCCTGAAGACACATTGACCTCACTCTACTGCTGGTGGTTCCCACAGGGGTCTGAACAGTGTTGATCCAGGAGTGTTCAGGAGAGAGGTCTAAGGTATAGCTCTGGGATTAGGACCAATAGACAGTTATGAGGACCTGCTATATGCCTGGCTCAGAGGTGAGGGCTCATGACATCCCTGTACATTCACAGGTTGAAGATCTGCTTGAAAAGGCAGGGCTGAGGGAGGAAATGGAATCAAGTGCCCAGGTGGACTGTTGAAATCCCAGCTATGTGTGGGCAGAGGTCAGAGATGGGGAATCAGGGAAGACTTTGACCTGGATGTGAGAGGAACTATAGAAATCAGATGGACAGCAAGGGGTGCAGTGGGAGTTTTAGGGTGTGCAGAGATGGTTAGGGACATGCAGCAAAGGCTTGGAGGTGGGATGAGTAAGTGTATGTATATGTTCTCAGTGATGGGCATAGGGTGACTGGGGCAGAGGGTTCATACTTCATGAAGACAGATACAGGGAATGAAGATCCCCTCCTTCCCCATCTCTTTCTGAGTGCCTGCCTGCTTGGTGCTAAGTGCTAAGGGAAAGCCTTTGGGGAGGGTGCTACTCAGTCCCAGTGGTCACCCATAGATGAGAATCGCATGAACCATCTCCTGTCATTTTTTTATTCACATAAAATTCCCATAACATACAATTTACCACTTTAACATTTTAAAGTGTACAATTAAGTGGCATTTAGTACATTCACAATGTTGTGCAACCACCACTTCTATCTAGTTTCAGAACATTGTCATCACCCCAACAGGAAAGCCTATACCATTAAACAGTCACTCTTCATTTCCTCTCCCCTGAATCCCTGGCAACCACCAGTCTACACTGTGTCTCTCTGCATTTGCCTGGACATTTCATATACATTAAGTCATACTGTATTTGTCCTTTTGTGTCTTTCTTCTTTCATTTAGCACAATGTTTTCAAGGTTCATCCACATTGTAACTTGTATCCTCTTTCCTTGTTGTGGCTGAATAATATTCCATTGTATAGATATGCCACACTTTGTTTATCCACTTGCCAGTTGATGGATACCTGGATTGTTTCCCCCTTTTGGCTATTGTGAATTTTGCTGCTATGAAGATTTGTGTACGAGTTTTTTTTGAACATCTGTTTTCAATTTTGGGGGGTATATACCTTGGAGTGAACCTTCCATCTTTTAAAAGCTGGTGCTTTTGAATTGGACATTTCACAAAGCCATTGATTGTGACAGCTGTAGGGAGATTGTCCCCAGCTTTGGCTGGGTGTGACACCAGCCAGACACCTGTTGTATTCAGAGTCTCTTTTCCATAGTGGCTGAGGCTCCCAGCCAGCCAAGGGAGGAGCTTCTAAGGTCAGCCAAGGGGCCTTGATTCTTTGAGGTGGGCCAGAGTGAGCAACAGGAACTTGTCTGCGGACCCTGAGCTTCCTCACTGCTCTCTGGGGGTGGGGGTGGGGTGGGGGAATGTATCCTCCTAGGACAAGGTCCTAGCCATTTTCCAGCCTCCATATCCTCACTGCTACTTTCCAGATCTGGGTGTTCATCCCAGATATTGCAATAGCTGTCCTCTTGGTCTCTGGTTCCTCCTTTGACGCTGCCAGAGTGGTCCTCCTGAAATATTCCTTTCATCTTGCCCCACCCCCATCACTAGCCTTCAGTGATGCATGCCCTGTTGGTTTTTAGTTTAGTCTGACCTTTGAACCCTGTATTGTTAATCATAACAATAATATTTATAGTAGCTACCATGTATTCTGTGATTACTGTGTGCCAAGTACTTCCATGTAGGTTACTTCCATTAATATCCTCCTGACAACCTACTGAGGGAAGTATCACTGTCACTGTTTTATAGATGGGGAAAGAGAAGCTCAGAGAGGTTAGGTAACTAATCCCAGATGACATAGTTAGTAACTGATGGAGCTGGGATTCAAACCGAGGTCTGTCTGACTTTAGAGTTCACTCT